TAATTTGACATTGATAAATGTGATTGACCACGACGAAATAAACATTTCTCATTTTTTGAATCTAATTCTAAAGCTTTTTCACAAGCATGAATACATTCAGCAAATTCATTTAATTTTAAATGACATAATGCAATATTTGATTGAGCAGTTAATTTTAAATCAGCTCCTTTCTTTTTATCATCTTCATTTTCATAATTGGCAGCTTCAAGATAACCAGCAATTGTAGTATATTTTTTAATAGCAGCTCGATAATGACCATCCTATATTATAAAAACATAGCTAACGTTGAAAGAAAGAAAAAATTCTCGTTTCCTTATCGAGTATAATCAGGGGCATAAGTCAGGTGTCAGAGAAGGAGGGGGTGTTACCCTAGTTTTTCTATTTGAAAGGTCAAAAAAAGTGAACTTTCTAGAAGTAGGGGGGGGGGGGGGCGCAAATACCTTTTTTCCTATTAGTTTTCGATAGTATAGGGGGGTTATGCGCCCCCCCTACTTACGCTACTGAGTATAATAATCGCATTAACTAATAATTCAGATGAACAAGTCCATTACTAACATTCTTCATTTCCGCAATTTTCTTTTTCTATCCGGTTATGTTATCTTAAGATATACAGCATACATTAAAAATTTATTAAAAAGCTGTTCATGTTGAAGTCCTAATTGTTCACGGGTGTTCTAACTCTCTTAGACGGTCGCCAAGGGGAGGCTGCTAGAAAATAGGAGCTGATCCCTCCTAGAATTTTGTTCTAATAATGAATGATTGACTTTTTAATTTATACGTACTTTAAATAATTCACCTGCACGTTTTTTTAAAACTTCTGATTGTTCAAGTTTTTCAACATCATTCATTGACCATGATTCTTTAGCCTATTATGATAAAAAAAAAGGTCTCAATTCATTTTTATTTATAATTTTGTACAAACTTTTTCAAAATTAAGTAATGTAACATCATATTGAACGGGAGTATTTTGTGGAATGTTAAATTTTTCAATACCAGTTGTTGCTTTTGATTTTAATTTTAATTGAGCATGTTCATTTTTTGTCATTTTTGTAATAGCATGTTCAACACTAAAATAAAACGAAATATACATAAAAACAAAGAATAAGAGAAATAAATTATACAAACCCTTCTGGAATGTTATGAATGAAACCTTCACCAACTGTAAATGATACTGTTCGTTCATCGAATACTTTGTTGTCGTGAGTACCCTTAAGTTTAACTTCAACGCTAGAACCTTCATTTGGTTTAGCCCATCCTTCACCTTTTGTTAATGTACGTCGGATAACACTTTGATCTTTAGCTTCACTTAAATCTTCACCTATAAAATAAAAAACATGTTTTTTTTTCGTATTGAAAAATTAAAAAAGTATATATTACCAAAGAAATCAAAAAGTTCAATTTCGAAAATTAATGTTGCATTTGGTCCGATTTTATCACCAGAACCACCTTCGCCATAAGCATATTCTGGTTTACATGTTAATCGACAAATTTCTCCACGTTTCATTGTTGCAACACCAATATCCCATGCTTTAATAACTTCACTTTTACCAAGATTGAATTCAAATTTTTGATTACGATCTCGACTACTGTCGAATGGAGTTCCATCCAATAATGTACCAACATAATGTACAGAAACTTTATCATTTACCGATGGTTGTTCATCACCATGACCTTCTTTAATTATTTCTTTGAGAACACCTGTGATATAAAAAAATAAATTAAATTGATTTATTTATTTTTTAAAACAAACCTCCATCTTTTTCAGGTGAAATATCTTCGCCTTTGAGTGTAGTTTTATCGTCAGTTGCCATTGATGTCAGAAGTTATGATGTGATTAGTTGAATGAAAGTAAAGTGAATAGATGATTATTATGCCTTTTTTTTCTAGAAAGTTCTTGTCATGAGATGTCGTTTTATATTAGAAATTTTTTATTTATAAAAAAAAATAGAAAAGATTAATTTTAATTGTCTATATAAAATTACAAGTTTTTCTATATAAAAAAGAAAGACTATTAATAATATGTTAATTACTGTTACCTCAGAAAAGAATTTAATGATGGCAACTTATCATTCGTTGATACTTTTCCGAATGATACACATTTATCTTTGAAAAATCAACCAATAATAGATGTTAAAAATGTACTTGAATAAATTTTGTTGTATTTTCAATTGTATACAATATTCAGAATCTAGGTAGAGAAAATAAAGAATAGAATTTGAACTTAATGTTACAGTAGAATGAAATGAAAAGAAGAACAAAATTATCAGATTTGAATTTTTTCTGCAGTTTTGCAATATAAATATATCAGAGAATGTTGTTCAAAGTCTTATAGCATAGAAACTATCGCTTAAATCTTATTTTTGAATCTTCGCGAAATCATTTCTAATACGATTCAAATATTCGTTTGCTTCTCTAATAGATCTACTCAAGAAAAAGTTGAAGTGTTCTTGTAGTATAGGTGTAGAAGAAATACTTTTGAATAGTTTAAAATGTTTTACACTACTCTTCAGACATTTTAAGTGAAGAAACAAAGATAGTATTGATGTTTTATCTATAAATATATCAGATGGGTGATAGAAGCTCCAGTTGTACCAGATCAAAAACTGAAAAACAATAGAAAGTGATGCATTTCATCGTCATATATATTCAGTGCTTTTCTATCCAAACAGACATAATCATGCGAAAAAATAGAAAAAGTTTGTCAGTTGTATTCCAGTTGATAAATATCTATTAGTTTGAGATGAGTTAAATTTAGCGATTGCCGAAATGATCGTTTATTCCAAAATATAATCTTGCGGATTTATCGATGATTGCGATGAGATACATGAAAAAAAATGATTTTAACTCGTTTTCTTTTAATATACGGTGTATACACATGCAAAAGTCATTGTATGTATCTTTAAAGAACGAGCTGTTGAAAGAAATTAATCGCAAGATTAATACTTGACTAATTTCCTATCAATTAATCATCTGTATAATGCTCATTAACATGTAGCTGTCGATCTTGTTTCGACATATTCTGTGGAAATATCATAAAACACAATGGACATTTATCTTCCATATCATCTCTAGTTGCAGTATTGGGCTGAGAATTATGAGTATCGTGTTTGGGTGAAGTTTGAGTTGTTGATGATCTTCGACTATGAATAATATATAATCTACATTTATATTCATATGAAAACTTACCTTGCTTGCTTAGCATTTGCGGATGTTGGCTTTTGCAATGAGCTTTCATTTACGCCATCATCGTTAACAATGTTTGTATTATAATCTGTTAATGAATTGTTTCTGGATGACTTTCCTTCATGCATCTGTGATAGTTGTTCTTCGGTCATGATGATATGTATAAACTCAGTTGGGTGTTGATAGTATTCGGGTTTGGCTAGTTTAAATTGTAATTCTTGACATTGTTCCAACAAATGAGAAAGTTGTTCCTTGTTTTTTGATTTGTCTTGTTTGGTAGCTTCTTCCGTGAAATTACGACGTTGTTTTTCTAAGTAATTTTTCTGATATTCATATAGTTGATCAAGTCGTTTCTTTTCTTCTGTCGCATGTTGTTCAATCTCTCTAATACAGAATGTGCGCCACTGGTCAATAGTACGAGAAATTTCCTTTTTTTGATTTTGTAGATCTTTTTGTTGGTCGGTAAAGAATTTACGAATATCGTCTAA